CTGCCGTTCATCACTCCTTGTTTCTTTGACTGGCTTTGTAGGGTGGGTGGACAAGCATGGTCTGCTGGGACCCGTGGAGCCAGGGTCTTTGCCTTAAATCTCCAATAACACAATCTGAGCCGGAGCTGTTTCCTTAGTGTTCTGTAGACACATAAGCAGGTGGGAGCAACCACTACAGGACTAAGGCGCAACTGCTCACTTCCCAGGGGAGAGGAACTAGCTTGTTTATTGCTCCCTACAAAAGAAGCTGAGTCTAGGGCCAGGGATTTAGCTCAGTGGTTCTGCAGCCTGCCTTGCAAGCACAAAGTCCGGAGTTCCATCCAGGTACCAAAACAAAACAAAAAACAAAAGAATCTGAATCTTTAGCCCTTGGTTTCTTAGCTGCTACATAATCACTGCCCGGCTATGGGGGCCTCTGGTGTTGTTCACTATGGCTGAGGAATAGGGAAACTATATTCTCCCGCTCTCCATTTGAAACTCCTGCTATTTGTCGGGTTGTGAGTAATAAGCATCTCTTTCTTGTCCATTGGTCCCATTGTCTCACTTACGGACCCGTGGCAGGTTTTATTCTTGGCCATTTCTTGTCAGAGGTGCATATATGTTTTCTGATAAAGTAAGACACTAATTGTAGAGTATATATCTCTGAAAGAGCTTTAAATATACCCACCTACATGTCTTAACCAGCAAATTGCTCATGTGAAGGTGTATTCCGAAGAATCATACTAAACAGAGAATAATACTAAATAGAGCTTTTGTCCTAAAAATGTGGGTCAGTGTCTTAAATTGGTAGCAGCGCTGTGACAATAGTCACTGACTCTGGCAAAAAAATTAGGTTCATGGAACACCGCCAAGTGGCAGCACTCCTGAGGATGCCTGTAACTTAGGAAAGCTGCACCTTTGACAGAGTTCTTGAGGTTTAATAGAACATAAATCCCATGTAGCACATCTGTCACATTCAGTGCAAGACCTTAAGAAGTAAATGTCCCTGAAAATTCAATAGATCATAGCACAGTAGCACATGGAAATGGCTTAATCAATGCCAGTTGTTCGTAATAATAGTTTAGTATTAGTGTATATAGTGAAGAAAAAATACAGAACTCGTCATCAGGAAACCTGAGATTTAGTCCTGGGATTGTGTTAACCAATAAATAACTATAGTTGAATAACCTTTGGGTCGTGAAATTGCTCTGATCTTGGCTGTCCTCATTTAAAAAAGCAAAATGAAAAACATGAGATAACTTTTAAATTCCAAAAATCTATAACTCCATGATGACATTGGTTTCAAGCCTCATCAACTGAGCAAAGGATGCTACTATTGACAGAAATAAAAATGTCAAAACAACAGACTGGGAAAGTCTAGATATAGGGAATGTACAATTAAAGTGTAAATAAATGAATATTTATTATGTGTCTTAGTTGCTTTTCTAGTTGCTGAGACAAAATACTTGACACCCAAAGTTAAAGGAGGAAAGGTTTATTTCAGCTCACATTTTGTAGAGGTTTCAGTCTACAGGTGGCTGGCTCTGAGGCAGGTGCCATGGCAGAGAGGCGTCAGAGAGGAGAAATAGTCCATGGCAAGCAGACAGGAGACAGCAAAGCAGCAAGCAGCAGCAGCAGCAGCAGCAGCCTGCCTCTTCCTTTCTTTGGGGTGGGGGATTGAACTCCGGCCCACCGAGCCAAACCCCTGGGCCCCTGCCTCTTCCTTTTTTTTTCTCTTTTTTTGGTACAAGGGATGGAACTCAGGACCTTGTGCTTACCAAGCAGTGCTATGCCACTGAGCTAAATCCCCAGCCCTGCCTCTTCCTTTTATCCCATCCTGGCTACCAGCCTTTTGGGTGGTCTCAACCACACCTAATGTGGGCCTTCTCATTACCATATCCATACCATACCCAGAACTATACTAAACCAGTCAGTGGACTAATCTAGTAATCACACATCCTTAATTACAGCATTACTCCCTTCATCCCAGTATCACATGCCCTAGATCCAGCCACCTCTGAAAAGTTCCACCTATGACTGCGTGAGGCTTTGGGGGACATCTAGACACAAGCTGTAACATTATGCTCTACCTTTCCTAACATGGTTATCATGTAACAACTGAAGTAGCCAGCATTCAAGCAAAGTATATATAAATGTAACTATTCAGGGCTCATTCCTTCAAGCTTTTTCTCTAGGACAGTGGTGGTAAACCTTTGGGACCTAGTGCTTAAACTGCAACCCAAAACTTATGGCAAAATGTCAACCCTGCAGTTAAACTGCAGCAATTGATGCTTTGCTGCTGGTGCAATTTGAGTGCAGACAGAGAGGGCTCTGTGTGTCTGCTGCCTCACACATCCATAGGTTCACCACTACTGTTGTAGGATTACCACTTTGTGGTGACAACAGCACATTTACATTCTGCTTAGTTGTTCATTTGATTAAAGAAAAAAAAGCCAATGCAAAACACTCAACTGGAATCTAGGCGATTAATAAAATGGATGTCCATTAAGGAAAATAATTTTAGTCATAGAAGTATTTTTGAGAGAGAACACTTCAATAGCAAAAATGCTACGAAATGTCACAATGTAAGATAACTTCTGCCCTTTGCTCTGTCTGGTTCAGAATCAACAGGCACCAGAGGCCACTAGTCTCCCTCAAAAGTTTTGTAAGTGAATAAACTGTAATAATACATAAGATCCTAATAAGATTACTGACATTGTGGAATGGGAAGAAAGGGGCTAAACGTGTAGAGAAGGTGGGATGGGTAGGGGAAGGGTAAAAAGGAAAAAGAAAAAAATGTGAGATAATGAAAAGATGGAAATAAAGTGTAGATGGGGAGGAAAAGAGGGAGAGAAGGGTGGACAGGGACAAGGTGAAAAAATGAGAACCAAGACCTGTCATGTAGAGGTACAAGATCCCAACAATAAATGCAACTGTACTGTATACCTAAAATGTACCAATAAACTCAATTAAAGCTGAAAAAAAAGTTTTGTAAATGAAAAGAACCACTGTTAGCTTTGCTGACCAGACACGCCCCCTTCTCCTGGGCTAGAACAGATAACTAGATGAATTTTAAAGGTAACCTCCCCTACCAAAGAAGTGCTACGTCAGAGTTGAAATTCAACAGCCTCCCCACCATGTTTTAAATATCACCAATGTGAACTGTGGAAATGCAATGTAACCGCCTAAATGAGATCAAGGCTGTAAAACCCTATAAAAGGAGTTGTATAGCTTCTGTACTATCGACCCTAGTCAATGAGTGAACTTTTGATATTTTATTTCCATTCTGCTGCCTCTCTGTGTGACACTTGCCAATTCTTTCCGTGACATTTTAAATATAATGAGTAGATTTTTCTAAATTCAATTTTTACTAACAAAACTGGGAAAAAATATATATATACCCAAGTCTTACTTTCTAGTACTTATGAACATGATCATATTTGGAAATAGTCTTCATAGATGCAATTTAGTTAAGGACCTCAAGATGAGACTACTGTAATCTAGGATAGGTCCTAAATTTTATGACTTGTATCCTTATAATAGAAAAAGGAGGGATCGTACAGACACAGAATTATTGGGAAACAATGCATGTGAAGATAGAAGCAGAGAATAGATGTTATATGGGTCCCTGGGCCCTTCCTCTCTGGTCCCCCCACCCTTTCATCCATGCAATGAGTTGGGGGAGTGTGGCCTTTACCATGTATTTCCAAAATGATGTTTCTGCCTTGGAGTCAATCAATCATGGGTTGAAACCTCTAAAACAAGGAAACAAAATAAATACTCTCCTCCTTTAAGTTGTATAAGTCAGGAGTTTTGTCCCAGCAACAGGAAAGCTGACTAACATAATACCCTAGTAGAGTGGATTACACAAAAGCCTGGGTACCAGCAGGTGGGCAATCACTAGGTCATTTTAGAACTGTCTACCAAATTTTCCATTTACTGTTCTATATCACCATCCCTGTCATTCTTAGTTACTATATATTTGAGATGGCATATTTTGAGCTCCCACATAATCAAGGTCACTTAGGTTCATATGCTCACAGGCTGAGGATTTGGCTCAGTGGCTCTGTGCCTGCGTGACAAGTGCAAGGTCCTGAGTTCAATCCCCAGCACTGAAAAAACAAAAAACAACAACATATGCTCGCCACTGGCCAAATCAAAGGAGGCCATGTATTTTTGTGAAAAGGAAAAAAAGGACTTATTCAAAGTTAGCTCCCAGGAGATAGAAAAAGGCCATTTGCCTCAAATCACCATCTCACCATGGGCAAATGGCCTTTTATAGTAAGAAAAAGTGTGTAAGGCACAGATAGACGATGTAGATCTCCACACTTGCTTTATCACTTCTAGCATCTTTGACCCATTCTCCTCTTTCTTGTGGAAAGGGTACCAGTTTCCCTTTCTTGGTGCTGGTGGTATCTGCATATTCAGTCACTTGTTTTGGGCTGAGGAGGGGAGGCACTTATGAGCTATGCGCTCAGTTTGAAGAAATTTGGAGTTGTTTATCTCTAGAAGGAAAAAAAAATCTAATTTTTAAACTTTCTCTTTGCAGCGCCAGTTACAAAACAGTGACTTCAATTTTATTTCTCACCAAATATTGTATGAAGGCTCAAAGGGAATCAGTAATTATTCCAAGATACTTGATCTAATATAGAGTGGAAGCAAAACTTGAACCTAGTTCTACTAACCCAGAGGGCTTTTAAAAACTTATTCTGGACTTCTTAAACGGAGAAAACAAGCTGTGGATCTTTTACAATTTAAAAAGTTAACTCCCGACTTTCCATCAGATTCCCCCTTTTTCACATATTGACATCCTGAGGTATGGGTATTACTGAATTTTAACAGTCAGGCAGAAAGAAATTTAAGTCATTGAGCAACGGAGAAACCTCCCTTTTCAGTGGACAGATTTTTTTTAAAGGGGGAGGGCTCCATTATGCGCAAGGCACCTTGGGAATTGTAGTTTTTAGTTATAGGCGCTGATTCAGAGGGACCCAATCATCAGCGAGCCAGCTGCTCTCCGCACAGCGATTGGCTTGAAGTCAGGTGCGGCCCTCCCCGCGGCTCCATCGCGGTGTCTCGGGTGGGAACAGAATAGGGGAGCGTGCAGTGAGTGGGTACAGCTCTGTCCCGCGTTCCAACGTCGCTAATAATTCGCTGTGGCCATGGCCGAATCTCAGCCTGCGTCTGGCGGCCTCACTGACGAGGTAGCACTCAGTTGCTGCTCGGACGCAGACCCCAGCACCAAGGTGGGCACGGAGCGTCCACCCGCGTGGCCTCCGGAGGGATCAGATCCTGGGGCTCAGCTTCGGCTGGGCCGGCGGGGCGGGGTTCAAACTCTGTCCGGCCATCGCTGCAGGCCGGCCGGCGTTGGGCGGACTGGAGTGGATTGGAGAGGATAATGGAGGCACCCATCCGGACTTGTGAAGAATGTTCTTCATGTTGTTTCAAAAAGATTGTGGCCCAATTTATATTCACTTGTTTTATTTTAGGAGGTGTCTGGAAGCCAGGCCAGACCCCTTGGTTGGTACTCGATCGCCTTGGCCGACAAGAACAGTTTCAGAACTCGCACTCTTAGGTTGAAAAGTCCCTGATTATGCTGGGCCCTCCTAGCCGCGACCAGTTCTCCTGGTGGCCCTAACAGCTCAGCTCCTCTACAGTACCGGGATCGCCCCCTTGCTTGGCTTTGCCTGTTATTTACAACCACACTTCGGTCTTGGTGGAGCGTGCTGGTGACCCCTAGGTGACACGCCGTGGAGCTCAGACCTGAAGGGTATCTTAGGAGGTCCCTTTCCAACTGTGTCGTGTTAATAGTTGTGAGTCAGAAAGAGGAATGACCTGTTGATAGGCAGGCTTTCACTTGCTTGGTACAACTGTATTGAGTCAGTGTAACTCAGGTGTGGCTCTGGCTGCCTTGTCAGAAGGAGACGGGAGTTTTGCTGCGTCATGATCAGTTTATTCCTGTGTAGCCATCAGTGCATAACTGTGTCTTTGCGTGAATTCCCTGAAGATTGGCTTTGGACTTCATGCAAACCTCTATCAAAAAGAGGCAGAGAGATGGTCAGTAACTTTGATTTCTGCTTGTTCTCTGCCTTCAGGGCAGCGTCTGACATCTAATTGCTAAAGCCTTTGACAGGCACCTGCTAAACACTTAGTTTAGGAACAATGTTAGTCCCTGAGTGAGGAAAAGATATGCTAGCTAGCGTGGTAAGTTGGAGCCAAGTCATGAAGAGAATCTTGAATGTCACATCCAAGAAAGTTAGATTTTATATAGTAGGTAGTGGAGAATGATCCAGGATTTTGTAGCATTTTGTAGCTTTGTAGCACTCTTCTCACTTTTATATGAGTAGTTATTTTATATACTATAAACAGAATCGTTCCGTGAAAATTTCCCAGATAACTGCGGATTTTGTGTACTGGGCTATTTGAAGAGATTACAGGGGTTGGGGTAATAGCTTGGCCTTGCGTTCAATCAGGGGGACATTTAAAAATACATTAAATATACTTCCTTGTGTGGCTTTACCCCCCTATGTCGGTACTGGAGATTGAACCAAGATCCTTCACTCTGAGCCCCAGCCCCAGCTACTTTTTAAAAATTTTCAGGTAGAGTTTTGATGCCTTGCTTGTCTGTACTCAAACTTGATATCCTTTTACCTCAGCCTCCCAGAGTGCTGAAATTGTAGGTAGATTTCCTTGCATCGTAATTTACATTCAACATTATTTAAGTTTCTCTTGATGATTTAAAATAAATTTTTTGAGATCAGTAATTTTTGACCCTTGTTGGTACTATGTGGAGACTTAAAATGGAATACATAATATTAACTGGTACATTACTAAGGGTGCCAGGCCCTGACTTGGTGTTTTAAGTACATTACTTAAGTTGGCCTTCAGAGCAGTTTTATGATTATCTCCGTTTTCCAAACAAGGAGATTTAGACATAGAGGTGTTGGGTGTCTTGCCCAGTGGGGAGCCCATACATCCAGTCTCCACCCTGTCTGCTTTTGAGTACTGATTCAAGCAGTAATTTTGGACTTTGCCATGAGTTGGAAAAAAACTTTTTTTCAGTGAATTGATTGATTAGCTGACCCTCTGTATGTATGCAAAAATCATGGTAGGAATTTTGGGAGGGTACTGGGATAAAGGTTCCTTCACCAAACATGCACCAACTGTAAATAAGGTGGACCTGGGATTAATGAACTGTTGAGATTATAAAGTACTCTGGGTACACAAAGGAGGTAAGAAGTTTTTGAAGGTAGTGTCCAAGGACGGTCTAAGCACTGAGCATAATGGAGTCTGAAGACCTGCATTTGGATCCTCACTTCATTGGTGCAGTGATCTTAGCAGGGATCTTGGGAGAACACAAGGAGATAGATAGATAGCTTTTATTATTTTTTGCCCCCCCCGATAGCTTTTATCATTATTATTGTTATTGTTTAATGGAGCAAGCCCCTGTCCCATCAGAGTGGTAGGGAATGGTGTCCAAGAAAACTTTCAGTGTTGGTGACTGTTGAGTTGAGTTTTGTCAAATGAGGAGGAGCTAGCCTGGCAGAGAGGGGTGGGAAGAATAAGGAATAGGGAAAAGAAGGAAGAAGGACAAGGGCCAGATGGGTGGCTGACTGTTCTAGTACAGAGAATCATAGTACTGTGTATGTAAATGCACAGAGATACTAGTGTGCTTAAGTAGAGCCCTACAGCGAATCCACTGAGACTGTAATATGTGGTGAGAGATGAGGGGAGGGCATATTATTTTTCTCTTCATTTCTCGGACAAATTAGCTCACTTGCACAACTTAAAAGAGAGGTCACATGCTTGACTTGGGCAAACGAGGGGTGGTTGAGGCATTCCCTCTTGGGAATACAGGAAAAAAGTTTGGACTGTGTTGAGTTTGATATTCTGATCCAAGTGGAAGTAAGTGTTGGAGAGGTTAAGTTTGGCACTGAGGTTAAAGGTATGGGCTGGGGAATGCAGATTCAATAGTCAAAAGTAATAGCAGTGGAAACTCAGTGTATTTTGTATTAATAACAGCAAGCCAAATAATAAGCAAAGTTGCTTGCTGTAGGCCACACATTATGCTAAGCACGTTCATACATTATTCCATTTACATTTCAACTCAAGCTTAGGAGCTAGGAACTCTAGATTATCCTTAGTTTAAAAGTGTGGGGCCAGGGATTTAGCTCAGTGGTTCAGCCACCTGCCTGGGAAGCGCAAGGACCTGTGTTCTATCCCTGGTACCAAAATAAATACATAAATAAATAAAAGTGTGGGGATAATAAATACATAAATAAATAAAAGTGTGGGGATGTAGCTTAGTGGTGCCACTGCCTGCCTGGCAAGCACAAGGTCCAGAATTCAATCCCCAGTACCAAGAGGGAAAATTAAAAAAATAAAAGTGTGGAAACTGAGATTCAAGGAAATTAATGATTAACTCAAGGACACGCTTGTAGAGCCAACATTTGAACTATACCGCCTCTCATAAAAAATTCCTCTCATATTTGTGTGGTTAATTTTCCTCTCCCTGTACATGAGAAACAAAAGGCCCCATGATACTGAAGAAATGACCAATAATCTTGGACGCAGCTATACTATCTCGTACTGCTCTGTAGGTTAGAAGTATGATATGGGTCCCACTGGTTTAAAATCTACGTATAGAAGGGGCTGTATTCCTTCCTAGTGGCTATAGAGAAGAATCTGCTTCTAGATTCAGGTTATTGCCTGCATTCAAATCCTTTGAATTGTAGGACTGAGGTCCCAGCTGTCTCACTGGCTTTAAGTATGGGGAAAGTGATGGCAGAAGTCTGCCTTTAACTCCTTATATCATCTCAAGCTAGCAGCTGTGAGTAGACTCCCACCTGTGCCGTCTCTCTGGCTTCTCCACTGTCTCATCTGTACTCTGCCTTCTTTGCCATCTCTCTCTTTTACCTTCCTCTTAATGCTTTTAAAGTCTCATGTGAATACACTGAACCCACTTCAGTAAACTAGTACAGTCCGCCTGTGCTAAGGTTAGTAACTTCAGTTCCATCAGTAAAGGCCTTCCTGGCAGCACCTTTGGTAGAATAATCAAGGATATCTTCAAATTCAGTTCTTATCTCCCTGTAGACACTGAGCACCAAACCTAGCGTGGAGCGGGCAGCTTAGCCCCGTGAGGCCTGCCAAGTAGAGCCTTTGAAATGCCATGGTCTGGCCTGATGAGCCCAGAGGTTTTGTCCGGAGTTGGCCTCCCTGAGCAAACATTCCAACTGCAACAGGGAAGGGGCAATCACCTGCATTAGCTGGCTGCCATTTTTGAAGTGCTCTGTGTGGCTTGTTTCAGTCTGAGCTCAGACAGGCATATTGCATGGGAGGAGTGATCTTGTTGCTTTACAAAAAAATTTAAAAAAAAAATTTTTTTTAAATTTGAATTTATGGCAGTCCCACAGTGGCTTTCTAGGTGTTTTTGTGATTACGTTAAACAGGACAAGGCCAAACCATAGCTCTGAGTGCTAGGCCAGTGCACACTTTTCAAGAGCTGCATTTCTCTTTCTCACATGATTATTAAAACTTTAGACCAGGGCCTAGGGATTTAGCTCAGTGGTTCTGCCACCTGCCTCACAAGCCCAAGGAACCAAGTTCGAACCCCGGTACCCAAGAAAAACAGAAAACAAAAAACCAACCAAAACAATAAAATGAGACCATTAGGAGAGCAGCCTAGGCTGAGAAAAGCAACTCAAATATTCTGAAAATGTGGAACCTCAGAGCCAGCTGCCTTATATGTGATTAGAAGATACAGTAGAGTTTTTGGTTTGTAGTTTTTGTTTCTGTTCTGAGACAGGGTCTCACTGTATAGCGCAGGCTGGGCTTCACCTTGCTATTTAGCCCCAGGTAGCCTTGAACTCACAATCCTTCTGCCTCGATGTTCCAAAATGGTGTTGTGACAGTTGTGTTCCACCACACTTGGCTAAGATATAGTAGTTTCTAAGGTAGTTTTAAATGAGAATTTAATGTTTTAAAATTAGCAAAATAGAAAAATATGATTTCCTAATGATACAGAATGAACAAAGCGTTTTGTTTGTAGTATGTGAGTTACAGGGGAATGGTAGCTCTGCAACTGCAAAAGGAGGGGTTGAATTTTCAAGCCTGTTTTGTCGAGTCCATGGGTATAACAGTAAAACTGTCAAGGGGCTGGGGATTTAGCTCAGTGGTTCTGCTGTCTGCCTCTCAAGTCCAAGAACCTGAGTTTGATCCCTGGTAACAAACAAAAGAATAACAACAACAAAACCTGTTGAGGACTGATGAGGTTAAGGCTCATAGCTAGAAGCTACCTGTGGTTAAAGGTACCTTCTGTGGCCTGAATTTAGAATTGGACAATTCATTTAAGTGCTCAATGTCGGTTTCTCATCTATAGAGTAGGAGTATTAATACTTAATAGGTAAGAATACATCACAGAGATTCTGTACCCCTAAGCAATGCTGATGATTATCCTAACTCTGAATTTATATATTCTCTACCCTATTATCATTTAAAACTTCTGTTTCCTGGTGTGGAAATTGAAGGGTTTCCCAAAGCTATTAAGAGATGTTAATTTAACTTTTAGTTCTTTAGGAGTTAAAAAAAATAGGATCTTTTGAGTAACTCATTGCTAATTTACATGGCTCCCAGTAAATATTTCAAGAAGGGCATTTATACATTAATTCAACAGATATTATAGTGGTCAGACTTGTTATTATCACTGTGGGCAACTGGAGTTCAGTCTGGATGAGGAGCCTGTGAGGAACTGTGTAGAGGTGCTTTAGAACCGTCCCACCAAGGAGAAAGAAAGCCTGATTTTTTTTTTTATCCACTACTGGTTGAGGATCATTCCTAATGTTCTTTGTGTGTGTGAGTGTGTGAGTGAGTGTATTTGAGACAAGATCTTGGTATGTAGTTCAGGCTGTCCTTGAACTCACTATGTCCACAGATGTCTGTCAGGTCTACAGTCCTCTGCTCTACCAGCTGAGCTATCTAAGGATGCACCTTGAACTCACTATGTACCCTAGACTGGACTCCATCCTGAAGCCTCAGCCTCCATCCTCCTGCCTCAGCCTCCCGAGTGCTGAGATTACAGGGGTGAACCACCATGTTTGGCAGCTTTTGAGCTGCCTCACACAGGGGCCTGCAACCAGAAAACACTGACAGAGAGCCATAGGTTGTAGGTAATAGGCATACTGGTTTTTATTGTAGGTTGTAAGTACCAGTGTTTTGTTTTTCCCCTTCACTATTGTATTATAATGGTGGACTATTTGTATGTCCTTAAAAACAGTTAATGTTGCTGAAGGAGTGGCAAAAGTTGAAGGTATTTAATATATACTGTTTGTCTTTAGGATTTTCTGTTGCAGCAGACTATGCTACGAGTTAAGGATCCTAAGAAGTCTTTGGATTTTTATACTAGAGTTCTTGGAATGACGTGAGTAAAATATATATTAGCCCCTTATACTTAAATCTGTAGCTTTGCAAAAAGAGGGATTGCTGCCAGACCCACTTAAAGTATGCTTCAAAAGTAACAAAGGTTCATTTTGGCCAGGAATCTGCAAGAAGTCCTGACTAGATAGGGCTTACGGTATGTTCCTCTATTTTGGCCAGGCTCAAATACATTCCCGTCTCCTGAGAGCTGCCAGCTAAATCTTTAATGTTAAAACCCTTTTTGATATTCTGGTCAATTTTAGCTTCTTGGCTGGTTTGTTTGTTTGTTTGTTTTCTTCAGTACTGAGGATCGAATGGAGGACTTTCACATTGAAATACATACCCAGCCATTTTTGATACTTTTTATTTGAGACAGGTTCTTGCTAAATCTAAGTTGCCATGACTCAGCCTCCTAGAGTACTGAGATTATAGGCATGTGCTATCACCTGTTCTAGCCTCTTGTTTACATCAGAAAATGTAAATGTAAGGACAAGTTACTTAGAAAGGAAATAGGTTTACTTAAAACTGGCTAATTTTGTTTTTTTATAGCCTGTGTCCTCTTGTTAAACAGCTATTGATCTTATTCTTCGAAACACATTTATATATATTTTTTTCTCCATCTTTATTGAAGTACAATTGACAGTTTTACTTTTCTTGGTTCATTTCCCTAAATAACGTAAGTTTTGGTTTGCTTTTGATAATATATAGGTCTGTATAGAATAAATTGTTTTTCATTTCTTATCTGTATACTCTCCACTGACACTGAGAGAACAGTTTAACTAATATTGTATATGTCTGTTTAGAATATTTGGCCAGCTCAGAAAAATACAAAAGGCAATGATTTTGTTTCCTTACTCCAAACTAAAGATATCTGCTAGCAACCATTTCTTGTGATTCTTTGAAGAAAAAGTAGTTTTACATATATAGTATTTGTGGTATATTTAAAGGGCAGAATGAAAACATGTATTGGACACCTCCTCTTTTCCAAACACTTTTCACGTTTTCTCATTCAGTCTCCACAGTAAGCCTTTGAGGTAATTAATATCCCCATTTTATAGGCACAAAACCAAAGCTTAAAAGGACATAGTTACTGATCGCAAAGCCTACACTTGGCACTTGGCAGAGCTGGGATTTGAATCCAGGTCCGAGAGACTCCAGTGCTCACCTTGTTTTTAAAGAACCCTGAAAAATAGCTTTCAGCTTACCAATAGCCTGGAAGATTTTCTCCACTGAGAAAAACCAGTTGCAAATGGTTCATTTGCTTTAATTCCCTCTGATTGGTCAGTAAGGCTGATAAAATCTACTTTAGTAGGGTGCCGAGATAGTTTTTCATAATTGGAGTGTGTGGGGTGTTTGGTACTTTACTATAAACATGTTGGAGTAAATCAGATCTGTGATGTCAGTGGACAAGCCTAATTGTAAGCCATGATAATTAAATAAAAGATTTGAAGTGGAGCTCTAGAAACTTTCCTTTTGCTGAGCCTCAGCTAATTATTTTCTCTTACTGATTATTAACAGGGTCATCTGTGCACATTTAATCTTCTTTAATTGAAAGAGAATGGTATTTTATGCATTCTAATTCTACCTTATTCCTTACAAGGTCTGAACTCTTTAAACTTCATAAGCTAAACCTTCAGTTGTATTTTTTAAAACCTCAGGATTAGTGGTTCATTCCCTCTTCATATCAAGCCTCTCCTTCCTGACCCTCCTTTCAACCCATAAGCAAGCTTAAGTCCTCTAGAATGTCTCTTTCCCTCTGCTCCCTTACCAGTCCTCCCACTGTCACCGACTGTAGGGATAAATCTCACTTGGTGCTGTCTCTTTACTCATCCTCCTTCTGTCTCCCAGGTCCCAGTATTGACTTGGCTCTCACAGGACCTTTCTAAAGCTCATGACCTTTTCTAGTCTTAATACATTCAGAACAGGCCCATAATTTGTGCATCTCCTTGCCAGGAGGCTCTGATTTAAATGCAATCATTTCTGCTGGCTTGAATCCCCAGTGGTAGCACGCACGACTGTCCCATCCAGTGGCTTGTAACGCTTGCTTCTTAGGGGGTCTTTGATTATAAGAATGCAAAGAAAGGTGTTGATTTAGGAGACCAGATGTCTGCTAAACATCTGTAAGGAAAACATTAAAATGGTATAAAAAATTATTACATAGCTAATTTGTGATATAACAGTTGTAAATACTTATACAACAGTAATGGGGTACTTGTGAGATTTCCTTGTTAAAATTTAGAGAATTAATTATCGATAAGCTATTCACAAATATAAATAAATCTCTAATTTGATAAAATAATTACATTTATTGTATTGGTATGAATATTAATGTTTATGTTTGGACAGTATTCAAATTTAAGTAACTAGATTTGGTCCATTTAAGACTTTTTATTAATTTTATGAAAAGACCAATAACAATGATTCGATCCCTTTGTGCTGCTGGTGGTACAGCTATCTGATAGGATGGTCATACATGTACCACCAGTGGTTCAAGCCAGCAGGAATGTGTTAATTCTGTTTCACCTTTCTGCGATATTTGATACCATTTACCACTTTATATCTGGTAAAGATATATATATATATGTCTGTTTGACATTATATCTTCTGTGATATTAACTTATCTTTCCTTCTGTCATACCATTACCCTCAGTTTCCTTTCTTAGAAGTTTTGGCATAGTAAGAACTCAAAAAATGCATGTACAGTATTGAACTGAGTGGAATATATCTGAAAGAACAGGATAATAAATACAGTTCTAGAAAACTGAAATTCCCTGTTGTAGATCTTTTTTCTGTTTATAAACAAGTACTATAATTTTGGCTGAATTTCATTAAGTTTGAAGAACTGATGAATTACAAGTCTGCTTTTACTAATATCTACAGATAAATAGGCATTTTGAAATGAGATTTTCATTAATGTTTCTCTTGGTTTTCCTGTTAAAACAGTTTTACTATATATATAGCTTTTATTCATAGAACTTAAATATTAAGTTATATTGATCTTATTATGAATCAGTTTTTCCTGTTAATGATTTTGGCTTGTCATTTTTTAAATTTCAGGCTACTCCAAAAATTAGATTTTCCTACTATGAAATTTTCACTCTATTTCTTGGCTTATGAGGATAAAAATGATATCCCCAAAGATAAAAATGAAAAAATAGCATGGGCATTTTCCAGAAAAGCTACACTTGAGTTGACACAGTGAGTATAAGTTTTTGTAAATTCTGGATGAAGGTTTTTTTCATTTTGTTTTGGTTTGGATATTTATTTTTTTCTAAATAATTTCAAAAAACATCAAACCATTTTGTAATTAGCATTGCAATTTTAAGGCATTTTTATAATTTCAACATTTAAAAATGTAGAAAAAAGCATTGCCTTTTTAAAAATTTACTTTTTATCTAATTTTTATGGTACTGGGGATTGAACCCAGGATCTTTACACTGAGCTGTATCTCCAACCCTTTTTTTATATTTTTGTTTTGAAATAGGGTCTTGTTAAGTTGCCCCTGCTAGGCTCAAACTGGTGATCCTCCTGCCTCAGTTTCTCAGAGTACTGGGATGTATTACAGGTGTGTGTCACCATGGCTGGATTCCTTTTTATATCATTATATTGTTTCTCTGCACTCTTTATAACAACTACCAAAAAAGCATTTGTTTCCAGATGTGTAATTTTTTTTGTGTATCCCTTGATTTGAAACAAAGCTTTGGGGGCTGGGGACTTAGCTCAGTGGCGCCGGACAAGCACAAGGTCCTGAGTTCGACCCCCAATACAAAAAAAAAAAAAAAAAAAAAAAAAAAAAAAAGTTTTGGAATTAGAGAGGCCTAGACATGGGTCTATGACCCTGACCAAATTATATCACCTCTAGTTGGTCATCTCATCCTTAAAATGGAAGTATTCAAATCTAGCCCATGGAGCTATTTTGAGGGTGTAATGAAATATGAAGTATTTATATTTAGCACAATAAATGGTAGTTGCTGCTAAGATTATTGCTTTAATCCAGTTTAAGTCATACATTTCCTGCTTGCCCTTTCTGCAGTTGAAAATTTTACTGTTTTTAGTAGCAGGGGTCAAGCCAAGAATGTAGAGTAGAGTATGCACATGGTAAGATTTCAAACATCGGTTTCTTTTCAGAGTATCTGTTCTACAGGACAGAACTATAAGTTATGTTTTCCCTTCTTTTGTAGCAACTGGGGCACTGAAAGTGATGACACCCAGAGTTACCATAATGGTAATTCAGACCCTCGGGGATTTGGTATGTTTGCCTGTTTGTGTGTAATATAAATGTATATGGGTTTATGTGCTTTTCATGGTATACATCTAGAACATTCATGGCCTAATTATCAAGTATAATCCATGTAGTAGAAGTATGGTTTATTTTCCATAAATCTTACTTAGGATTGTATAATTTCAGAATCTCAGTCTAAGCATATTTATTCTCATAATGATTTTACTTTTAAGTCTCAGTATTATGTTTCCAGTATTTTTTTAGTTAATAAAAACCCAGCTATATTAATAGTAATCCCTGTTTCTGCTAGTGTATACTTCTGTGTTGTTCTAAAATCTGTCAAATCAGGATGACAGAATTATAGGATTTAGTAGGCTGCTATATAGTCAGTGCCAAAAAAACAAGTCTATTATGTATGAACAAATGATTACTCTTTCATTGGTATAGTTTTACTTTATTTTATTAGTGCCTGGGATCAAACTCAGGACCTTGCGCTTATGAGGCAGGGGCAGTGCCACTGCACTAAATCTCCAGCTGTATAGTTTCATTTTGGCTTTGGTGTTTTGTTTGTTGCTGTTGTTTGTTTGCATTGATTGAATCCAAAGCTGCATCCTCAGCCTGTCATTTTTCTTTTCCTTCCTTCTTTTTTCTTTTCTTTCTTTCTCCCTTCCTTTCCCTCCCCACCCCTCTCCTCTCTTCCTCTCTTCTCTTCCCCTCTCCCTGTGTCCCTTCCCCCATCTCTGTTTCTTTCTTTCTTTCTTTTTTCTTTTCTTTTTTTTGGGGGGGGACAGAATCTCCCTGATTTGCCCAGGATCAAACTTTTGATCCTCCTCTTCAGCCTCCTAAAGTGCTGAGAATTACAGGCACATACCACTATGCCCAGCTGGCATAGTTTATTCTTCACAGAGTGAACTATTGGTAGCCAGTATTGATTTATTTTAAATAACATATAATTCAGAACTGATTATTCCGTTATACTGCTATTTATTCTTGAGTATACTATAGATTTTAAGTCTATTTTCAATATGTGTTGGAAGCCACTTGTGATCTTCTTGTTGTAATTATTTCTTCCTTTCCTGTGTGGTTTTTGTTTGTTTGTTTTTGTTTTTTGGTGGGTGTCACCTAAGGTCACATTGGAATTGCTGTTCCTGATGTACATGGTGCTTGTAAGAGATTTGAAGAACTGGGAGTCAAATTTGTGAAGAAGCCTGATGACGGTGAGTCTACGACTGTGTTCATGCTTAGTTAAGTAGTGTTACAAGCACCCAGAGAAGGCACTGCTTTGGTTAAACCTGTTTAGTTGCTAGTCATGGAAGTCTGCTTCAACCTGCTTAAGGAAAGAAGCAAAATTATAAGACTATCTGGGTATCCTAGGAAACTGAAAGAACAACTAGGGTGCTTCACAAAGGACTAGACACAGGGCGTGGAGAGCCATCAAAAACTCCGGCTCTTTCTCCCTTACTTCAGTCTCTCCTTGGCCATTGGTTTCACTGTTTCAGGGTATAAATCTAGCCACTCAAAACTAAGCTTTAAGTCTGTTTACCTGATATTAATTATTGCAATTATTAATAGTACATTAGCATTTTCTTTTTCATTCTTTTACAGGCTTTCTGTGTATATATGTTTTATGTATGGCTCTTAAAATAGCACATATCTGGATTTTGTTGGATTTACATATATTGTGATTGTTTTATTTAGATCTCGCTCTGACATTATATTTTATTATTTCAATTTTAGTTTGAAGCATTAATTAAAATACTTAATGTCCAGCTCACCTCTCCAGAGAGAAAATAATTTATTCCCCTCTACCAACATCATGTTACTATTACCCAGACCCCAGTGTTACTCATTTCTTTTTTCTTTGGCCTTGGCTTTTAAAAATACACTTGATCTTAACCAAAAGGCCAAGAACGATTGGCTTTTAAAAATATAACGATAAATATGTTAAGGTATTTTGATCATTTTCTCTATGTCTTTTATACCATAATCTGAACTTTTCTGTCTATATAAAGTACCTCAAATAAAACTTGTCAAGAAGCTTGTGAGGCAAAACTCCTGAGTCTTTGTATGCTGAGTACCATTCCTATATGTGAATGACAGTATTGTTAAAAATCCTAGGTTTGTTTTCCTTGAGTCTTGAAAATGCTACTCCATTGTCATTTTGCACACAGGTGTACTGAGAACTCTGCTGTCAATCTGATTCATGTTCTTTTATGTATATTATTCATGTATAGCATCTTCTGCTTTGCTCTGGAAGCTTTTATGTTATTCTTTGTCCTTACCTTCTTGCTAAGATGTTTCTTTAGACTCCTTTTTCCCCAACTATGCCTGTTCTGACATTTAACTCACCTGTTGTGTTCCTAATCTGTTATAATTTTCATCCCTAATTTGTGCTTGTTCCTTTAATATTTTCTTCTTATTTAATATCAGTAACATTTCATACTGCTTATCCCTTTTATATGTTCTAATAATTCTTGGTCCATTGTTCTACTATTTCATTTTATAGTTAACTCTATAATCATTATTTGGGTGTTTCTCATAGTTATTCTTTTCAGATTTGTATTATTTTGGCCTCTGTGTGTGTGTGTGTGTGTTTCTGTTTCTTCAACTGTTAGCTGTTTAATCCCATGTGTGTGACTGGGGGAAGGCCAGAACCCAGTCCTTAACCTGAATGAGCTCAGAAAGGCAGGCAGAGTAAGCCAAGGGCTGAGATCCCTAGACACCTGGAAATGAATGTGAAAAATTTCACATCTCACAGAATAACGCTTTAGGTCAGATCTTTTCCCTTTGTCCCTTAGGAAGCAGTATTAGTAGTAGACACCTTAAGGGCCAGGGATGTAGCTCACCTGCCTGGCAAGTATAAGGTCTTGAGTTTGATCACTGGTATTGGGAGGAAAAAAGAAAAGAAAAGTAAAAAGAAAGTAGTAGATAGCGCTGAAATTGTCAGTCACTGGCCCTGGGTGTGTGGACAGAGAGATGGGAAAGATCAGATGGTCCTCACCTGTTCTTCTCAGTTCCTCACAAGCTTTCTGTACCACCCTTACTTACTCCTGAGGATGTCTGATGCCGTGGCCTTACAAGGGCAAAGGCAGGTGCTGATGCCCACGGCACTTGAGACAGCAAGAAACAAATTGTTTTCCCCCCACAATCCCGTGATGCCCTGGCCTGCACCCGCACTACCACCTCTCACACAGACCAGGTTAAAATAGATACCCACTTCACCCTGCCTTTCTTCGGGTGTCACTCCCAAGGCTTCTCACTTTTCTCTCCTTTTCTCATTTGTGTTCCTCTGGAACCAGAGATAAGAACCAAATCGATTCGGCATTTGGGTCCCAAAATAAATTTCTCAGGTCATGTATAAGCATTTAGGTAAACTCTGACCTGTTAGCCTCTCCATTCTAGTTATGAATTCCTAGGAGGCAGAATCTGATTGGTGGGGCTTAGTTTGCCTGGTGGGATCAGTGGAGGGTCAAGATTGTGTGATATTTTTGGAAGCAAAGGGAAGAGGGAAGTTGGTCCACATCAAATTTGTATTTCAAGGAAAACAGACAGTGGTGACACATTTTTATTGGGAATTTTTTTAGCATAGGGAAAAGCCTGGATTTCTAAAAAAGTTTTTGTGGTACTGGGGATCAAACCCAAACCCAGAGGTACTCTAGCTGTGAGCTATATTCCCAGCCCCTTTTGTTTTTATTTTGAGACAGGGTCCTACTAAGTTGCCCAGGCAGGACTTGGAACTTGTGATCCTCCCCCCTCAACCTCCCTCAGTGCTAAAATTACAGGTGTTCACCACTGTACCTGGCTTTTGAAGGCTAAGGGAAAGGTAAAGTGCATTTTTTGTGTTTGTGTGTAGGTGTGTTACTAGAGATTTACCCAGAGCTTTTACACAACTGTTTAAAGGGTTTGTATGACCAAGCACCAAGTGTTTGGTTTGTTTTGGGTAAACCACACTACCTGCTCTGTCAAGCGCCTTCCTATTGTTATTGTTTTGTTTATTTGTTTGTTTGTTTTTTTGAGAGGGGGTCTTGCTGTGTTGTACAGGCTGACCTTGAACTCCTGGCTCAAGAGATTCTCTTTGCCAGCCTCCCATGCAGCTGGGATTACAGGCACATGCTATGGTGTTTAGATTAATTCCTGTGACTGCTGAACCGGTAGCATGAAACAGTATCGTGGAGGTGAGGCAAATACCTGTTACCAAGTACTGGCTAACAGAAGCAGCCGGTCCCACAGTTAATTTTAGGAGGGCTAGTTTCCAGCTCTGTGTGGAAGGTGACATTTCAGTCAATATGAGAAGTAAGCATTTGGGCAACATTAACAGTATAGCATTTTTAAAAATTAAAACTGTAACCAAAATAATGTATTTCATTAAAATATAAATTTACAATGGAATATAAATACTCTTTAAAGTTTTTATTTTCTGTTTTCAGTAATGAAATATTTCATTTTACAGGTAAAATGAAAGGCCTGGCATTTATTCAAGATCCTGATGGCTACTGGATTGAAATTTTGAATCCTAACAAAATGGCAACTGTTATTTAGTCCTATGAAAATGCTTCTGAGAGATGTCAGTGAGGATGGAAATAAGAATAGAATAATGTGACTCAAGATACAGAGAACAGAAACACCCAGGACTGATGGATCTGTGTCCCAATTCTAATCCTTCTTAAGTCCTTTTCCCTTTTTAGCTGTATTTTTCACCTATTCATTTCTAGTTTTAAAGTAGTGCTTTATTTTATGACCTTGAATGAAGTTTTGTAAGTTCACTTTTTAGGTGATAATTAGAACAATTCCCTTTAGAAGCTGCATTTGCTGCCTTTTAGCTCCTAAATATTACCTCTCTTCAAGTCTTCCTTTGAATCATGTTTTAAAAAAAAAAAAATTAACCTTTTTTTGTGTGATGGATATCTTCTGGGGTTTCAGCTCCTCAGAAATAACTTCAGGATGGAAAGTAAAGAACACTGAACAAAAATGAAACTTCATGTGTACTTCAAACAGTATAAAGTGTTTATTTTTATAAAAGAAAAGGCACTCTTGAGAACTGTTCAGAATCAGGCTGACAAGGATACTGATAGAAAACTAATTTTTTATTTATGAAATACTTCTCTTATGTTCAAGGATTAATTTTATCTATTTGGGAAGGAGGAAGAGGAGTGGTAAAGTATTCACTGGATACTCAGGCACCAGACAAGGTTGTAGCATACTGTTTGTCCCTTAATACTCTATCTTATGTAAAAGAAAGCAGTCTAGACATGTAAAAACTTTAATGAATGGAAGGCAATGCAAGTAGTCAAGATCTCATCATCTTAGCATTTAGTATATGCCTCAAAATTAAGCCTCACTATCCCCGCCCACACTAATTCCCTGTTGTGAAAACCTGCAGTGTTCACGCATGGTGCTCTCAGCTCTTGGACCTGTATGCCACGTGGAGGGAAGAAATGTGGAAGTCTATCACCAGGCTGCTGTAGGGACACCCACTTAACCCCGCACAAGTCTTCCATTACTTAAGGAATCTTCTTTACCCTAAGTCTTTGTGATGCCAGGAATTATGTTCACTAGTAATACCACTAATTATCAGAAAGCAGCTCAGACATTTGGTGGCTTTCAAACAATCAAAGTGAGTTTGAAGATCTCACAGCCTAGAGAACAAAAACACCCAAAACACCTAAATTACATTTAGCTGTTTTGTAATTCTAGAGGAAGACTTTTGGACAGGCCACGCCAGTTCTTGAACTGCTGGAAGCAATTCACATTTCCTTTTTGGATGAAATGGATTCACATGAGCAATTTAAGCAACTAGCAGTATTTACAGACTGAAATAAATTTTAAATAAGACTGATTGGTGAACTTCTGCCTAGCAAGTTCTTTTTATAAAAGGCTCCCCTTAGAAAATATTGAAAGGATTTGAAAGGGCTTGCAAGTTTGATCTGAACCAGGACCAGCCTGTAAAACAGGTAGTTTGTATGGTTACAGAACTATGAGAAAGGTAGAAGGGGCACAGTAAGGAGTAAAGGATTGTGGTAGATAAAGTACAGCGAATAAAAAGACCAGATACTAAGAGGTAAGTCATGAGAACTTAGGAAGACCAGCTTCACATGTTAAATATTAGAAATAGCAAGTAGGAGGTCTGTTAGATTCATAAATTTAGTAATTTAAACTTTATTGCTAGGGAAAGAAAACTACTCTGCTTACTAAGTAAAATCGTGCCAAAATATAATCCTCATTCCTTAAATTCATTCCTATATTCACTGATAAAACACTGTGTGGCCAGGCCTTGCTAGGGATTAGAATAATTCACTTCCAAATAAAACTGTTTTGAGAAATGGTGGTAAGAAAGGGCAAACTAGGGGACAAGAAGTTTTCTTGTTTTTCATGTTGAGATAGTACTACCCAGCTCAGAGTGTAGAATGTCAGCCCCGGAGCAAGCACAGCTGAGGTTGGGACTCCTGATACTGATTTTGAGTTAAGAGCCGTGGCTGGAGGGCAATCACTTGAGGTTTCCCTCACAGTATTTTGAGCAGAACTTGTTAGGTTTATCTTTGTTCAGGCTGCTATACCAAAAATACTATAGACTGGGCGGCTTACACAATTTATTTCTTCCAGTTTTGGAGGCTGAGTAATCCCAAGTTCAAGGCACAGCAAATCCAGTGTCTGTTGAGGTCCCCTTCCAAGCTTGTAGAAGATAACCTCTGGCCGTGTCCTCATATGGCCAAGATAAGTGACCTTTGATCTCTTTCAAGAACACCAGTCCCATTCAGGAGGGCTCCAGGCTTAATTTCCAAGTACTGCCACGCTGGAGATTAAGCATGCATCTGAGGGGAGGCATGCATTTAGTCCATAGCATACTCTTAAACCTTGGTAACATAACTGAAGAGGCTTTTATCTTGCTGTTGGTAAGAAAAAACAAACTTAGCCAATGTAACAAGCACTGAATTCTAGAATGGGTTGATAGAGGGTTCAATAATTTTAAGAACCTCAGATTCCTTCCAACTTTCCCACCAGTCAATTTTTAACATTTTTTGTCTTTGAGCCAATAATAAATGTGATCTTTGATGCCTATCACCACCATTCAGAATGCTGTGTGTAGACCAACAATGTCCAGTGAAAAAAAATAACCTTTTATTCCTCGCTTGTCTTTATTAAGGACCAAAAAGCCTTTTCCAAAGCTCAGAATTCTGTTTCCTTAAACTCCGCTAGATTGTGAGTTTTGCAGATTTCCTTGCTTTAGATGATTGGCAGTTTTAAGGAATACTACTGTAGCTAGACACTGTAAAATATTCTCAATAGGGATTTTTTAAAAAAATTTCGTCATGATAAAACAAGAAACTGGTTTTTAAGATGAAGGCCTCAGGTAAAAAGCTCTATCACACATAAAGGATATGTGCTATTAATACATCACTAATAATTTTAACCATGATCACTGAGTTAACAGCGATACTACTTCCGCAGGGTTATGGCTAGATTTAAGGAGGAAAATGAGCATGAACCCTTTTGTAAAATGCCTAGAATGTAAGATTCTCCCAATATTATGTTCTCAATACTAGCCTTTTCTTGCTGCAGTCTACCTACTTTGGTAATGTCACCTACTATCCTGGCTTTAACTATCATCTTGGATAAAATGAGTTTAAAACGATTAAAGCTATAACAGCACAAACAGAAATATAATGAATGTATATTTGTATTTGGCCTCTAGGTCATCCTTCCTAGACTTTGGAAGAACAAAAGTGGTAGCTTATTTTCTCACATGAAAAGCCCTTTACCTTTTGCTATTTTATGTCCTTCTGTTCTGTTTCCATCTTACGATTGGTATTTTTTTTATACCCTTTGTTTTTCATGCACTCTGCGACTGACTGCTTAATTTCCATTTCTGCCCTAAAGCATCAATTTTTCAGAACTTAGCATATCAGGAGGCCACAAAGGAAAATATGGTGCTTAGTTCAAGAAGCCAGTCTCAAGACTGCATGTTGCAGGATTCCATTCCTAGGAATTGTCTAGAATGGGCAAATCTATAGAGATAGCAGAGTAGCTGTCACCTAGGGCTGGAGATGATGGTGTGGGGAATGAGAGGTGACTGACAAAGAATGAGATTTCTTCATGGTGATGAAAATGTTTTCAGTTGGATAGTTGCACAACTCTACGGACGTGCTAAAATCCACCAAACTGGACTTTAAACAAGTGACTTATATCCCAATAAAGCTTTTATTAAAATAAAAAAAGGGCCAAGGATTTAGCTCAGTGGTTCTGCCACCTGCCTTGCAAACGCAAGGACCACAGTTTAATACCCGGTACCAAAACAAACGAAAACAAAGAAAAAAAGAACCACAAGGAGGGCTTGTCTTAAGATTCAGGGCCTCACTTGAGTTTCTCATTCAGGAGGTTTCTAATTTAGAGCTTCTCACTCGGTAGATATTTGCATTTCTAGTCCCTAAGTGAAGCTACTACTGCTGGTCCAGTACTGCACTGTAAGAACTACAGTTGGGTAGCACGGCCTTAATATCAACATGAGCCACATAGAGACATCAAGAAGAGGTAAATTTTCACCATATGTTTTAACATGTATCCAAAATATTTTAAATAGGTAATCAGTACAACACTCATTAATGAAATATTTCACATTCTTGTTCACTCAAAGCCTTTCAAATCTGGTATGCACACCAGCACGTTTATACTGCATTTCAGGTGTTCAGTGGTCACCGGTGGCTACGATGATGGACAGTCTAGCCCCAGAGAATTCTGTTTTTTCCTTTCTTGAAATGGGCTGGAGTTAAACCTCACTATATAATGAAGACAATAACATTTCTTATCTCATGGAATTGCTGAGGACATGGAATGAGTAAATATGTGTAAAAATGCTTAAAACAGTTTCAACCAGGTAATAGTGGTATCTTATTTTCCCCTAATAATAGCTATTAAATAAAATGTCTGACTCAGTAAGTTCTGAACAGAATTGAAGAGCTACTGAAATGCTATTGCAAGTTCTAACATATATAAATGAAGCAAAATGACAAGATTTTGACCTGATGGTATCAGATAGAATGCTTCTGGCAGGAAGCCAAGCAGATGTAAATAACAGAAAAAGTACAGTTCAGTTTCAGTTAATACAACTTGAGTAACAGGGTCATCAGAAGGGCCCAGGTTCTTTTTCTCTCTTCACTGTGAACTCTAATATTGCCTTCTTCCTATAGCTGGTGTCTCTTCATTGCCTGCTATTAACAATCAGGGATAAATACTTCATGATTTACATGTGGCAAGAGACATAGAGACTTTCCCAACCTCTGAACATAGTCTCTTTAGTATGATTTTGTGTGTGTGTGTGTGTGTGTGTGTGTGTGTGTGTGTGTGTGTTGTGCTGGTGATATTCTATTTCTTGACCTGGGTTTACTTCATGGAAATCCAAATGCTGCATAATGATTATTTGTACACCTTATACATATTACACTCTAATAAAATAAACCCAAAGGTTTGTAAACAAGATGATAAGTGGGGACAGTAAAATCCAAGGAAAACACTTTAGGGTCAAGATGAACTGTGTTCTCTTAGCAACAAGTAGTAGTAGTAGTAGTTTGCTTTTTTTTTTTTAAGCTTACATAACAGGAATAGCTAGCTTCCTTTTCTTTTTTGGTGCTGGAGATTGAACCCAGCATGCTTAGCACATGCTCTACAACTGAGCTACATCCCCAGCTCTTGCTATCTTTTAAAATATTCTAGTTTTACTGCATTGTATCAGAGGCCGATCAATCCTCCCATCTGCCTAGAAAGGGGGATGCTGAGGGCTAAGGAAAGAAAAGCCATAGACACTTGTGTAATTTCAGCATGGGGATCTGGGAGGTCATCCCAGAATATGGAGTTCAGGCCAGTAAACCTGCCCTCTGGAAACAGGTCACCCAGGTCCACCTCATAAGCCAGGTCCCTGCTGGCATAAAGCTTGAGCCAGTTCTCCACAGCCACTTGATACTTTGGGAGGTAATGGTTCAAGAAGAAAATATGAATGCTGGCAAATTTCTTCAGCAGTTTGGCTAGCAGCATCCGTTTTCACAGGCAACAGGCCAGCAGGACTCTGGTGGCCAGAGATGGACCCAGTTACTATCAAGTACTCTTTGGTAACCCAGGCATCCATAGCCAAGTCAAACATGGCTTGCTGAAAAGATTCATAGACACCTTCTGGGTAACCTGTGCTGAGGATGGTTCCCCTGGTTTCTGATTTGTAGTTGATGGATCAATTGCACCATCGCACACTTCAGGGCAGCAGGCTTTCAAAAGAGCAGGTTCCAGTTACTTGGCACTTTGACTTCTTTGGTGCACAGCAAATATGGTATCTTTCACTGAATTTGGATTTCTAGTTTCTAGAACTTTTAAGTATTAATGTGTATTGCTTTAAGCATTGAAGTGATTTGTTGTAGCAGTCATAGGAAACAAAAATTTTTCCTCTATTTTACAAATGACATCATGTTCTATAGATCGTTTTGCATCTAGCTATTTTCTTAGTAATATATCAATTGCACCTTCATACGTCAATACTTACAGAAGTAATTCATTTAGATAACAATAATATTCTGTACTATAGCTGTCTCACAATTCATTTATTCATTCTCTTCCTGATGAACATTGTTTCAAATTTTTTGCAAATCGTGCTACAACAAGCATCCTTATATATCTATATGCGTATATGTGTGTTTTACATGTTGGCACTTTTGAGGATAGGGGAGAGGAGACTCTTAGGAAGATCTATGAATAAGGACATTTTAAATTTTAGTAGATAGCAACATAATACTTTCCAAGAAAGCTATAAAAATTTACACTTTCATCTGATTTGAATTTCCCTCAGGACAAATGAGGTTGAACAGTTTTAAAAATATTTGTCAATTTGCATTCTCTAGTTTATATAATGCTTCTTTAATTTTTTTGCCCATTTTTTTCTGTAAAGGTTTTTAAAATATTTCCCTAGTCTTTCAATTATGTCTTTGACTTTACTTTCCTCCCACCAAACCAGGAGCCAATTTCCCCTTCCCATGCACATCTAAAAAGACCTGTGAACCTAAAATGCCTTCCCCACTTACCCTATATTGATTTTCCTCAGTAAAGTCCACAAACCTTCTGTGTCAGGATTACCTTATTCATTAAAAACACCATGGTATCTCTTACGTGAGAATCTCTGGCAGAAGGTATCTAGATGCCCCTCTCCCCAAGTCATACTTTCCACTGCTTTTCTTTGTCTGAATTTATTTGGCCCTGCCTTATCTGATTGTCACAATTTATATACCAGCACAATTCAAAACATTTTCTGCATTGATAGGAATATGCATTATCCAATGCAACAGCTATTGTGGCTACTGAGTTCTTGACATGTGGCTAATATGTCTAAGGAACTGAATCTTTTCTCCAAGTACTGGGGATTGAACTCAGGGCATTTTGTTTGAACTATATCCCAGGCCCCTTTTATTTATTTTTCTATAATTTTGAGACAGTCTTGCAAAGTTGCTACAGTAGCCCAGGCTGGGCTCCTTCTACCTCCTAGGGTGCGGGGATTATTGGCGTGTGCTATCATACATGGCCAGGGACTGAATTTTTAATTTAATTTAAAATAGCCACTAGTAGTTAAAGGCTATTGTACAATGTAAGTCTAGATTGTTAGTTTTTTGAGAGTAAAAACTATCTTTAGTCTCTGCATCCCCTCTGAACCCAGTCAATGTAAACTGAAATAGGAAATAATCCAAGGGTATTTCCAATTTTTAGGTTCTTAGGATAGTAAAAGCAAAGAAATGCCAAAATAACAAAAATTATGATATAGCTTAATGGTTCTCTTACATTTATGCAGTAGCTTTACTGTTCTATTCTCCAAATAATTACAGGATTAAAATATTAAATCAAGACACACTGGCGTGTCATGACAACGTCTAAGCATAGTAATCACACTCAATTAACTTTATGGTATCAGCTTAGCAAATATAAAAGATACATTAAGACAACAATTGTCGTGAGCAATTCTACATAATTTTGGGCAAACATCCTTTCACTATTAATTATGATTAGGCCTAGATTTCCTGCCTATAGGTGGACTGTGGCATTTGCCTCCAGTCACAGCTAAGACTCAATGATCCAGATGCTGTGACACTCCAGGACAGGATTGCATCAGCTGAAGACATCTTGGTTCCTTGAGAACTGGTGTGATGAGAAAGGTTTCACCAGGTGAGGGACAAATTCCTGATCAACACAAGTTTCTCCACGACCTGGAATCTTTATCTGCATAAATTCCTCATTGTCCTAGGATTATCACTACCCTCTGAGTCATCTGTTACTCCTGATGCACTGAATAAAGTTGTGGCAAGTTTGGGGTGCCTTTGTCTTTGCTGCCCAGAGCAGCATTGATCAGGCCCAAAGCTCAGCTTCTTCTCTAAGGCTTTTTTTCTCTTTACTAATTAATTTAACTTGTGCTGTCGTGGCTCACAGGAGACCAGGACTCACTGCAAGGGTTCTGATAATGTCCCCTGTCCCTGTTGCTTATAAACAATGAATCCTGCTTTTCTTTCTTTCTTTTCCATTACATTTATTGGTACATTTTAGGTATACAATACAGTTACATTCATCATTAGGATCTTGTACCTTTACATGATGTATCTTGGTTCTTATTTTTTTCACATTCCCCTGCCCTCCCTTCACCCCCCTCCACCTTACCCTGTTTACGAAGACTTTGTTTCCATGTTTTTCCTTTTCTTGTATTCTTTTCCTTTCCTTTTTCTTATCCCTTCTACTTCCCCTATTCCTTTGGACCTTTTCTTCCTACTTCACAATATCATTTATACATTTTGATCCTTATTTACACTGTTAATTTCTCACACCAGAGAAACTATCCAGTATTTACATGTGTGTCCTATTTATTTCAATTAAGAGTATGGCTTCAGTGTGCATCCACTTAGCTATAACTGTCTCTAGTTTCTCTTTCTTTATGGCTGAGTAGGACTCCATTTTATAGAAAAAAAAACAAAAAACAACCCCACATCTTTATTCAGTTGAATCTTGCTTTTAGATCTTCCATGTATGTTCAGTTAAAGTGTATGTATGGTAATATAAACACTAGCAAATACAGTCAGCTCATTAATATGTGAGGTAGAAAGGAGTTTAAAACAAGGAATATGACTCAGATATGCAGAGAGCTACTCTTTCAAATTCAGGCTTACTAGAGGAGAATATTAAGGGAGACTGAGAAAATTGTTGATTGGAGAACTTGGGACTTGAAATTTTCCACTTATGCTTATCAACTATTATTTCCCCTATCCATCTCCCTCAGAAGAAAAAAATAAATCAAAGTTAATGACATTCTTGGAGATGCAATAACAGTGAAATTCCTTTGGAGACAATTCATTGTTCTATCTCTTATAAAACCCTGGAAAACTCATAAGTCACATTCTTATCAATATAGAAGATTATATATTTTAGCTCTTGCTTGAAGCGAGGGCAAGGGCCTAGGATAGTCATCCTAAGTACATTTACCATTCATTTTCCCAACTTTTTCCACAAACAACTTGACACGGTTTGTGCAATTACACATAGAATGTTTTCTTGCTTCCTGGCCATAAATTGAGTGGTTTTGCTCTGCTGCATAGTCCTACCATAATGTACCTTGCAACAGACCTAAAACAACAGGGCCAATTCATCATGGACCGAAACCTCCGAAACTGTGAACCAAGATAAATGTTTTCACTTCATAAGATGATAATCTCAGATATTCTGAGATAGTGATGGAAAGCCAAGTAACACACCAATGTAAACAGATATGCAGGCCAATACATTCAGTTGCAAATGCTAGGTCAACAGATTTATTCAGAGCTTCTTGGCAGACAACATGAAAAGGGAAAATCAGCCACTTGTGTAATGCACACAGCCTATAAAGAGAATGATATCTGTTACTCAAGGGTTGCCAAATATTTCGACTTTTGACTCAGAGAAAACATGTTCATATAAGAAACACCGAGTGACATCTCACACAACAACCCTACAATAAATGCACCGGTGAGTTCTGTAAGCTACATTTTCTAGAATTCCTCAACATAACAAAGACAAAGGGCACATGGTACAGTGGAAGCAGTCTGAAGGTTTAGAGCACCGATTCCAGCATTCAGCCACATGGATTTGAATCCTGGCTCCATCATTTGTTCTCTGACCCTCAGTAGTTATTAACTTTCCTGTGACTCAGCTTCCTGATTTATAAACATTGTATTTATACTATCATGTACTTCAAAGGGCTGTTACAAGGTTTAAACGAGCTGATATTAACAACACACAGAAAATAGGTATAGGAACTACAGCAAGGCACATAGTGAGCATCATTGTTATTACTGCAAATGCCACTGTTTAAGCACATTATGTTAACAGTACAGAGGAAGGGCATTTAAACCAAGGACCCAAGGGAATGTTTTCTGGCGAGGAGACACCTGTGCTGGGTCTAAATCTCAGTCTACTTGACTGCTTTAACCTTTGCCAAATTATTTAAAAATTTCACCCCATCTTCTAAGACTAAGATGTCAGTAGTTAATACAAAAAGCTAATGTTTATGAAATTAAGTGAGATAACAAGAAGATCAGAGAACAAATGTACCAAAGCATAGCATTTATAACAATGAATACATTTCCCCTTGAATATGGTGAAAAAATAAATTACTCCTGCAGCCCAAGTTTATTTGTGGGCATTCTGTCCAATTAAATGACTTTGGTTTAGAAACAGGTGTATATAAACACTAGTTCAGATCATAACAAAACTACCTGGAAGGATAAGTGACATCACTGGCTAAATGTCAACTTTCCTGGACTTTGTTTTAACCCATGGAAATCCCCTGCGACATTTCTGGCATGTTTGAGGGACCCTGTGCCTGACAGTGCAGCAAAGGACACCACCACGACTTCACTAAGCGGAACTGACTGCTCCCTTATCTTTATCCGTTTACAGCCCTCATTTCACTTTCTACAGCTCTATTATAGCATACAATAACTGTATTACAGTCACAGTACATTTATACCTTGCTTTAAAAAAGTCTATGGCAAGTGGTTATATACCATGTGTTTCTCCAAACTGAGTTTCTTGAATATTGTATCAGAGACAAAGTGTATTTGGACAGAAGCTGGTGCACCATATATTGCCCCTCAGTGCTTAGTGAATTGATCTGAGTAGGATTTTAAGTGTGCTGTTATAAGCAAATGAATCTAATATAAAGTTGGGGAGATTGTATTTTCTCCCTGATTGATTTCATCTATGTCTAGGGATTAATTGAACAATTCTAATTAATGTCTTCAAATCTATTTTATTTTCAACTCAACCTCATTCCTCATTCTTTGACCTGCATAACTGTTTATTGGACAATTTCCTTCAAATGTGTAGGTTTTCTCCATCAGAACACACTCACATTACTACGGTCAATAGGGGGCCTAATAAATTGTATTCTTCTTTACTACATAAAAGAGAATGCAATAGGAAACCAACTGTCATCTTTATTAGTAGTAGTTTCTTGTAAAAAATTACTACAAACTTAGTGACTTAAAACAATACAGGTTTATTATCTTACAATTGTAGAGGTTCTAATAAATTTCCTTGCCTTTTCCAGCTTCTACAGGATGCCTGCATTCACCCTGAAGGTCAACAGTGTAGCATCTTCAGATCTTTCTGATTTCTGCTTCCAATATCACATCTCCTCCATTGACCCTGACCTTCCTGCTACCAGCCTGGCCAGTAAATCCAAGATCATCTCCCCAGATGATCCTTAATCATATCTGCAAGGTCTCTTTTGCCAAGCAGTGTAAGATTCACAGAGATTAGGGTGTGGTCATTTTGTGGATCATTATTCTATACAACACACCTGAAAAACGTTGGTATTGGGAATTACCTGTGGACAGAGAGTTTCTTAATGTTAAATGACAGAATTAAATAGGTTTACTAGCTTTACAGCCCTGATAGGCCCTGTTTTCACCCCCTGCTCCCGGAGAAGCAGAGAACACCAGGATTGTTCCCCAAAGGGAGGACTTTCTCCTTTTAAACTCACCAATCAAGAAACCACTCCTGGAGAGAATGACCTGGGGACAGGTCAAGAAGGCAAGAAGACAGGAGTGAAGGAGCCATTGTGAGAATAAATGTTTCCTCAAGAAACAGCCACATCTGAATTCATCATTCCTCACACATTTAGTCATCTCCCAAGAAATGTTAACATCTATAGTAATCAGGTGTTGTCATCTAGTAACGTAGGTATCTGTGGAAAACCCAGACTCATCTTTCTTCCCAGCTTGATAAATGTGATCATTCTGACTATTACTCATTCATCCTCTACTAAAAGCAGTAAATTTTGCAGTCAATTCTATGCCTTAAGCTTCTCATCACTTTTTTTTTTTCCTTACAGAGGACTGAACCCAGGGCCTTCACACTGACCTACATTCTCAGACTTTTTTTAATATTTCAGTTTGAGATAGGGTCTCACTAAATGGCTAAGTTGGCCAAGCTGGGCTTGAACTTTGGATTCTCCTGCCTCTGCCTCCCAATGTTGGGATTATAGGCATGAACCACATGGTTGCTTGCAGTACTGTAATGGCCTCAGAATCCATCTCCCTGCCCGAAGGGTCGCTCTTCCTTTCCATTTTTCACATCCTACTTTTAGTCACGAAGTTTGCTTTGCCTGGAATTAAATCCTCCCTAATTAATCTCCCCCAACTCCCATACCCCAGTGCCCCAGCATGCCTAAGAGAAATATCTTGTTATTATTTTTTTTTTTGGTACTGGGGATCAAACTCGGTACCTTGCGCTTGCAATGCAGGCGACGGAACCACTAAGCTAAAATCCTGGCTCTAAAGGAAATATCTTGATTCCAGAGTCCCTAGTTCCCATTGCTCTTGCTCTTGCTCTCCTGGCTTCTCTTATGAGAAAGATATTGTACATATCTAATGAACTTTATATTCTAAAAAGTACCTCTGCATACATTATTACCTCTTAGTCTCACAAGTATCCAGTGTAAGCAGGACGAATATTATTCCCACTTACCCTTTTTTATTTTTATGGTGCCAAGGCCTTACATATGGTAGGCAACTGCTCTACCAGTCAGCTATACCTCCAGCCCTAGTTTCACTTACAGAATGAAGGAAATGAGAGACGGGGGATTCAAGTCTTGGTTCATGATAACTTGCTGCCTTTGACATTTGCTGCACACTCAGCCGCTTACAGAGCTTCAGTGCTTAAAGAGGCTCCTCGCAACTCGCCCAACTTGCAGATCCCGCGTCCGACTGGACTAGGGCACTGCCGTCTCCACCAGCGCGCGGGACATTCCCAACCCTCGTGACACGCACCGGTGACGCAACAGTGACGTACGGCAAGCGCTTACCCGGAGCCAGGTGCCGGCCGGGGGCTACACCCTGGGGGACCTACCGAGTAAGGGGCTGCGGATCGCGCGGCTGGGAAGAAGCCGCAGAACCTGCCCGGGGCGATCTCTAAGCCCTAAACCGTGGGCTCCGCAGGACTGCAGTCTCCCGGTTGCTAAGTGACGCCAGCCCGCAGAGGTGCGTGCGCGGCCACGGAGGTGTGCGT